ATAAAAATTATCCATGCTTGAAATGAAAGGAAAAAATCAGGGCTGGGGATGTGGCTCAAGCGGTAGCGCGCTCGCCTGGCATGCGTGCGACCCGGGTTCGATCCTCAGCACCACATACAAACAACGATGTTGTGTCCGCCGAGAACTAAAAAATAAGTATTAAAAAATTCTCTCCCTGTCTCTCTCTCTCTCTCTCTCTCCCTCCTCTCTAACTCTCTCTTTAAAAAAAAAAATGTTGGTGCTGTATTTTAAAAAAAAAAAAAAAAAAAAAAAAAAAAAAAAAAAAAAAAAAAAAAAAAAAAAAAATAAAAGCCTGGGGCTGAGGCTGGGGCTCAGTGGTATAGCGCTTACCTAACACGAATGAGGCACTGGGTTCGATTCTCAGCACCACATGAAAAAATAAGCAAACAAACTAATGGTATTGAGTCCATCTTTAACTTAAGAAAATAAAAATCAAAGCCTGAAATTGTTTTTATGGTGTGCTGGGGGTCAAACCCAGGTCCTTGTGCATGCAGGGTAAGCACTCTACCAACTGAGCTATATCTCCAGCTCCTAAAATTGTTTTAAAGCTTAATACCAGCCAGGCTTGGTGATGTATGCCTGTAAGCCAACTATGGGGAGGCTGAGGCAAGTTCAAGGACAACCTGGGCAACTTACCAAGACCCAGTCTCAAAAAACGAAAAGGACTGGGAATGTGGCTCAGTGGTTAAGTTCTTGCTAGCATGCATCAGACCCTGGGTTTAATCCTCAGTATTGCTGGGGCTGGGGGAAGCTTGATGTTTGGTAACATCTCAAGAAAGAAATCTGAACTACTTAGAAGTTCAGTAACGTGTTCATACTCCTCCAACTCTCCATGCAGCATCTACCTGGAGCACACCGACAATGTTCTGAAGGCCATAGAGGAGATTGCTGGCATTGGTGTCCCAGAATTGATCAACTCTCCAAAAGATGCATCTTCCTCTACATTCCCTACACTAACAAGGTAAAGGAATTCTTGCCTCCAGTTCTCTTTTTCGGATATGTTTACATTGTTTAGTGTTTAGTGAATATAGTTTCCAAATAACCACCTTACTCCTCTAATTTTTTTAAAAAATATTTATTTTTTAGTTGTAGTTGGACACAATACCTTTATTTCACTTATTTATTTTTATGTGGTGCTGAGGATCGAACCCAGGGTCTCATACATGCAAGGTGAGTGCTCTACTACTGAGCTCCACCCCTCTAATTTTGATACATTTGGTAGGTACCATCTTTAGTTAGTCTATGCATTCCTTCCAGGAGCTCTCAGTCAAACTATGTGAGTGGGCCTTATTGTGGAATAAATTGTCAGAAGTTACAGTTTGAAAGGAGATGAACTTCTCCTATCTATACTTTCATCCTTTAAACTTGAAACTAGGACTGGGGATGGTAGCTTAGTGGTAGTGCATGCCTACCATGCATGAGGCCCGGGTTTGATGCTGAGCATCATAAAAAATATGTGTGTGAGTGTGTGTTTGTGTGTATATGTATAATATAAGCTTCAGGCTATTGTTCTAATATTTTAACCACTTTGAGAAGGTGATTGTCATATATAATCATGTATGTCTCCATGAGTTTGTGTCTCCTATCAGTAGTTATACTTGTATAGTCTTTCAGATTTATAAAGCACTTTAACATTCTTTATCTCATTTGATTGATCTTTTTAATAATTCTATCAGGTAGGTATCATTACCCCCATTTTACTGTTGAGAAAAGTGAGGGTAAGAGAGGGACTCTCTCCAGCTTATGTAAACAATAAAATGAATGTGGAAGCAGGATTAAACTTGGGTCTTCTCCCTACTGCTTTACTGCTCTTTCCATACCGCTCTATCATCTCCTTCCATGAAGCTAGCTCAGACCCATTGTTTTGTAGGTCTATCTACTTGGACCCATTTCTGAAGCCTTTCCACTTTCCTATTATCTTTTCAGTGGACCCTAGTGAAAGAACATTCAGAGGGTTGGGGGAAGAATTATTGTGGTTCCTGACTTCTTCTTGGGAAGTTCTTCCTAAGCAGTGCATCGTTGTAGGATTATGTGTACTTGTCCCTATTTTAGGCACACCTTTGTCATTTTCTTCCGTGTGATGATGGCTGAACTTGAGAAGACGGTGAAAGGTCTCCAGGCTGGCACAGCAGCAGACTCACAGCAGGTGGGTCAGATGCTCCCCCACCAAGAAATGGACTCTGGATTTCTTGGAATTTCCTGATCCTGCTATTTCTTGGGCCTAGGGTTTCTCCTGAGCTACTTACTTTGAGTTACCAAAATACAGGATATTTTTCAAAGACTCCTGGTTTAATTTCCTTTCCCTCTAGTTGGAGGTGAGAATTGGGCTTTATTTTCCCTGGCCACTGTCCAATTTGTCACTTGTTTGCTAGCATGAGGTAAGTTAATCTGTTTGAGATGCTATGGATCTTGGCAGCTTGGCTAACCAGAACTGAACTGGATTGTTGAGATCAAAGGCTAACATAGGCAGTCAGAAGCCACTGAGATCTGCTACAGAAGCTGTACCTACTTGGAAATTCCTGAAAAGACACTCTATCAGGCACTCCAATGTTATCACAACATGTAGGCCTTAGAACCATCTTGTGGGTGCACTGGTTGCCACATTTCTTTGGTAGCGTAATTAGCTTTAACCTCTGAATAGTTGTGTGATTGAAGAACTGTGCATTAGTTGGGAGTACAGGATAAGAATAATTCTGTGAGCTGTGATTTAGAGGCATCTGTTTGGTTGTCTCCAGATTCATGAAGAAAAGCTTCTCTACTGGAACATGGCTGTTCGAGACTTTAGTATCCTCATCAACCTGATGAAAGTGAGCATGGAGGCTCCAGTTATCCAGATAACTGCGGAAAATGAGGCCCTGGCTTCCAAAATGGATCCTGTTTGCTCCTGTCCTCACCCTTCCTGAGACGTATCTCCTCCATACACACACATTTCTATTGTCTTATTGCCTGTTCTCCTGCCCATCCATGCTAACCCCTTTCTCTCCTAGGCAATGTCTTTTTCCTTTTCTTCCTGCCTCCCGAGACACACAATAATAATACTTATTCTCTGTCATTTTCTCTCACCTTGCTCTGGGTCCTCTCTAATCTCACTCCCTTTTCCAACCCTCAGTGTCTTCATTATTTTTCGAACTAGTGCTTTCTCTCCAAGATTTTGTTCAGGTTGGTCCCTCAGCCTTGGATGTCATTCTCTTACTATTTCACTTCACTTATAAAAAGTTTTTCTTAAAGCTTCTGATCAAGGTTTTGGCCCTCTTATGTCATATTCTAACATCTCCAGTTAGAATCAATCTCTTGTCCCTCTTTGCTCATTTCTTCCTTTCTTTGACTTCAGTTATGGCAGTTACTCTTTCTGTAAATTAATTTGTAATTAAACTGTTGATTTGTTGTCTTCGTTTTAGATTTCTCTGCAGTACCCAGAGCTGTGCTGGGATGCTCAAAGGAGCCATCCTTAGCTTTGGTTTCTTGTCTTTTCACCTCCAGGTATTTGATAGTCATCCTGTTCTGCATGTATGTTTGAAGGTGAGAGCTTTACTGGCCCTGTTCAATATTTCTTCTTGTGGTTGTTCTAAAGAGGCCTCAGCTAAAATGAGTTGCCAATACCTTGCATATGTCAGAGGCTGTAGGATCTATTCTATGCTAACAGCCTTAGGGAAGGCAATAGATATGTTAGCTCAGTGGTACAGTGCTTGCCTAACTTGTGCAAGACCCTGGGTTCCATCCCCAGCGCTGTTTAAAAAAGAAGAAAAAAAAGAGGGAAGAGGAAAGGCCTTTGGTGGCCTTGTGAATGTGGAAACTGATATATTCTATGTCTTCATGACTCCTCTCTATGGGGATTTCCCAGATTAGCTCTAGATTTGATAGTAAACCCAATGGGAATATTGTAGAGAGAATGCTTCTTTCCCACTCCTGATGTCTCCTTCCAAGTGGGTTGGTGCCCCATTCTATCTTCTGGCCTCTCTACTCTCATACACTGGGAGATGGGGGAGTCGGGGACAAGGGATGATTTCTTTGATCTGGTAATATTGGAAATTGGTGTGGGCTCCCTCAACCCTACACAGTTTCCTCCTCTTGGGAGTCATTCATCCTCAAGAGTTGCAAGTTCCCCTTGCTCCTCTCTGCCTTTGGCCTTTCGCTGTGTCTGGAATAGGTAATTCATCAAATTTTGGGCTTTGTAACAGACAATTTTCATATTAAACTATCTTCTCCAAATTAACCTTTTGGACTACTCCCAACTATTTTTTACATATAAAAAAGGAACATAATGCCTTTGGGCTGGTGATGCTATGCTGCTTCAGCAGGGGCCTTTCAAGTGAAAAAAGTCACCAGTGTCTCTTTTCTTCAGTATGGACGTCTCTTTGTGGAAGCATTTCTGAAGCAGTGTATGCCACTCCTAGACTTCAGTTTCAGAAAACACCGGGTAAGAGCAGAGAGCAAAGAGTTACTCTCAGGAGTTGCTTGGGGACTGCTTTTATGGCTCAGTGCTTGCCTAGCATGCATGAGGCACTGGGTTGGATCCTCAGCACCACATAAAAATAAAGATATTGTGTCCACCCAAAACTAAGAAATATATGTATTTTTTTAAATCAAGTTGCTTGGAGGGTATATGCATAGTGGCTTATGGAGTAGGGTAGGGGTGGGAGTGGGAACAGTCTCCTTGCTCACATTCTGGGCAGAACTGTTTAGACCCCTCCTGTGCCTCTGCCCTAATGGTGCTTTTTTTCTCTTAAGCTTGATTTCATTGTGCTACTGCACTCCCAGGACCTTGTATTCAGTTGATTGCTACTTTGTGCTTCCCTAGGTCTACTCTGGAATAATAAAGATGGAGTTTATTTGTGTCACAAAATACTTTGCTGTTTTAAAGAACAATCTTGATAGTTTCTTTAGTAAAGTAGTACCCAGGGATAGATTAGTGAAGTAAGGAAAGAAACAAATTATTTCTTATACATATTTAGCAAGTAAAATTTGCAAAACACCAATAATAAAACACCTAGGATATTTGGTTAATCCCTTATAACCCTAAAAGAGAAAGGAGAGGTGGGGAAAATTGAGATGTAACCTATTTAGCTCTATAGTTAATGTCTTTTGGCAGTAGGGGCAGAAATGGGACACTAGAGAAATGTCTTTAGGTAATTCTGTTTCTGAGGGCCAAATAAAGACGATTGTCACCATAGGCTGCAACCTGTAGAATGTATCATCTTTGATTCCCTCAGTTACAAGGATATCTTGCATCTAAAATGAAATGAGAATATTTCATGCTGCATTTATGAATTTTGTTATCTTAGGAAGATGTGCTGAGCTTACTGGAAACCTTCCAGCTGGACACAAGGCTGCTTCATCATCTGTGTGGGCATTCCAAGGTGAGACGAGAGTAGGTCGGGCACTGCTGGCTGGATCTGCAAGTGCTGTTGGGAGTTCCATTGGTTTATTTACTTCTTCCTTTGTTACCCCTTCTTTAAGCCTTTAGATCTTAGACTGTGTCCAGAGGCATTTTATGACTATTCAGATCCTTAGTTGCTGGTTGATATTGGGCAATTGTCTAAAGGGAAGTTCTGCATCTGTAATTTGATTCAGATCCCATAGCCGTTCTCTAGAAATGCTTCTTGGGTGAGGAATATAGAATGCTACTGGATGGCTGGGCATGGTAGTTCACACCTGTGATCCGAGCCACTCAGGAGGCTGAGACAGGAGGATCACAGTTTGAGGCCAGACTGGGCAACCTAGTGAGACCCTGTCTCAAAAAAATAAAAAGGACTGAGGATATAGCTCAGTAGTAGAGTATCCCTGGGTTCAATCCCTAGTTAAAGAGGAAAAAAAAAAAAGAGATCTTACAAAGTGCTCTGGGTGGGAAAAACACTAGATCACGGGTGGCACTATTGGGCAGGGTATTGCTAAAGCAGCCATCTCAGATTTTCCAGCTGGACTACTTAGTTGTCAAGGGGCACATCTGTTGTGAGAACATTTTCGCATTGAAGGGTTTTTCTGCTTGAAACCCTCTTAGAGTTAATAAACCATTGACACCTTTTTTTCTGAAGGAACAAGGAATCCTAGGGTTCTATAGTCACTGGAAAACCAAATGATTCTTTGAGCCAGTTCCTATTACTTATTTCCTCTCCTGGTTTTAAGTTGAAAAGTTCTGAGCAATAGAATTTTAAGGACTCTGTGCTAAGCAGAGTTTTTTTTTTTTTAATATCCTTGTAATATTGGCTCAAGAATATTTTTGGTGCCAGGTAAGGTGGCGCATGATTGTTACCCCAGCAACTCAGGAGGCTGAGACAGGAGGATTACAAGTTCAAATCGGGCTTCAGCAACTTAGTGAGACCCTGTCTCAAATTGACAGGGCTATGTTGTCATTCAGTGTACAGATTTATGCTTGATAATAAGATCAGATGAGATGTATGTATGTATTTTCATTCAGATTCACCAGGACATGAGACTCACAAAACATGTGCCTTTACTCAAAAAGACCCTGGAGCTCTTAGTTTGCAGAGTCAAAGCAATGCTGGTCCTCAACAATTGCAGAGAGGCTTTCTGGCTGGGCAATCTCAAAAACCGGGACTTGCAGGTAAGCCTTTGGACCACCAGTGCTAATGCCTCATTCCCATTCCTTGATAGAACATCAGAAGGAATGTAAGGAAGGTCACTTAAGCCCTGCTTTGCCAAAGAGACTGCTTTGAAGTCTGGTTGTTTAGTTTTTAAAGCTAGGGTACATTGCTGTGGTCTCTAGTCACAGGCTGTACTAGAGACAGGCAGCAAATGTGCCATTGGTGTAAATAGGTCTCAGAAATAGAGCCAGATTGGTGTAATCCTCTCCAAGGCAGTTTTAAGCCCTAGTCTGTATTTTTCCCAAAATCATTTTGGCTAACTTTAACAAATGAACATTTCTAGGGTTCTTATAGTTGTCTGATTGAATGAAATTTTGTGTTGATCATAATATTGCTTACAGCATTTTTCATAAAGGATCTAAGCCCTTTTTTTTTCATGCTGACAATATCATAGTTTTATAATTGGTTATATGTGAAAATAGACCCGAGAATTAGCTTCTTTTGTTCACCTAAGCTGTATGAGATTGATTCTATTTGAGAAAATTGAAACTCAGAGAAGTAACTTATGTAAGGCCTGTCAGCAGCAAGTGAGTGGAGCCAGAGTTTGAGTCCAAACGGTTCTGATCCAGAGTTGATGTTCTTCAACCACTTGACTGTTCTTCAGCCTCTTCATAGCTGTTTGTGGTTCCTGTGTTGGAACTTATTTACTTTAAGATACCAGGGAGGGCTGGGGTTGTGGC